CAGTGCTCATGACCACTAGACCACGTGGCTATTTCACAGCAAGGACAATCTAAGTTCTCTGGCAATAGCAGTAATGGTGATAACAGCAACAGCTAACACTTGCACTCTTGCCACGTACCAGGCACTATGCTACAGGCCACATACTTTTAACTGCACTTGATCTTCACAACAACCTCCATGAGGTAGGCATTATTATCCTCATTTTATAGATGAGAAAACTGAGGCCTGGAAAATTTAAGTCATTTGCCCATGACTCAAGCAGAGACATAGGTGGCCAAGACATGATTTCACATATACATCCACCTCATGTATACATTCACCTCAGGATAAGGTGTGGAAAATGGATTAGAGAATTCCTACGCTCTTCTAAACTGAAGAACCCAGTTAAACAAGACAGTTCATTGTTTTTCATCAACATAAGGCCCCATCTTCTCCCCAGGAGCCCCTACTCCTACTGCCTCAACTCCTACCTATGCAAAAAGCTAAAAGAATTGACCAGGTGGGAAATCTAACTGATGTTCAGAAGAAGCAGCCCTTGGCCTGCTGTTACCAAAGGCAGCATTCTGCTCAAATCATGCCACGCACCTGTTAACAAGACTGCATCTCTGAGCGAGGGACAGTGATTCCAGGATTCTCCTAACTTTCTTAGGTTATTCCTAGGTTAGGATCACACTAATGCAATATACACATTCCTTCTCTTAATTTCTATATCAAATAGTTAGTCACAGGATTCTTTAGAGGCCTGGGGGAATGAGTTGTTGAGACAAACATACCTAGGGCACCTCGAAGTTTCTAGTTCATCCTTTGATATGAAGTGAGGAGATTCTATCCAGAGTCAGGCTGTAAAAAGAACAGGCAGTTGGAGAGAGCTGCCCATCCCAGGCGCTCTTGCAGCTGTGGTGACTGCCTGGATGGTAGTTCAGAGGAGAAAAAAATAGAGAAAAGAGCTGGAGATAATGAGGGGATTTAGGTCTTTCTGTAAAAAACAGCAGCTTCCAATCAGAGAAACAGATGACGAGTATCCAGCTACCCAACCCAGAAAGGGCAAAGTCCCCCACCCCGGCACAGTCCCACTGCTGGGATGACGCCTGCACAGAGGTAGAGCAAGCCCTTTCTAGGTTAATGTAATCAGATGGATATGGGACGCGTGCCTTTCACTGCAAAGCACTTCACAGAGCGAGCTGGCTGCATTCATCTGCTTAATAAAGCTGGAATCTGAAACCAACCTTCTTTACCCAGTGTCTCAGAGTCGTGTTGTAGGGAACGTGCCTTTAATTAGAGCCAGACTGCACAGCAGTGGGGCTCAGCTATACTGTGGTTCGGTGCTGCAAGGCAGAAAAGTTACCATGTATTTTCCTACGCAAGCAAAATGTAGATGATGTTTAATATGAGACATCTCTCCAGGGAGAAATAATGCAAAAGGTTGGGTTAATTTTTGGTTTGTATCTTTTTTTTTTTTCTGCTTTATCTCCCCAAATCCCCCCAGTACATAGCTGTATATCTTAGTTGCAGGTCTTTCTAGTTGTGGCATGTGCGACACGACTGCAACGTGGCCTGATGAGCGGTGCCATGTCCACACCCAGGATCCAAACCGGGGAAACCCCGGGCCACCACAGTGGAGTGTGTGAACTTAACCACTTGGCCATGGGGCTGGCCCCAGTTTCGTGTCTTTTAAAAACAGAACATTCAGGTTTTTGTTCTGAGCAGTGGAATAACTGGAATAATTGTTTAGGCCTCACAACAACACATCAAGGTATTTTAGAGATGAAGAAACAGAAGCTCAGAGAGCTGGGGTAACTTGCCCAAGGTCACACAGTTACAAATGGCAGGGCTGGGATTCAAACTCAGTCAGTCTTGACTTTTCCAATGTTTTCTTTTCTTTTTTTAATCTGTCTTTAAGAGCGCACTTTCTTAACCTGTGCAGCACGCTTGAGAGGGATGTGATATTCTAAGGGAGAGGCTGCAAGTCACTCTGTGTCCAGCAGCTGAGGGAGAAACAATCAGTCTGTGAGATCAGTCTCTGCAGATGGCCTTCAGGCTCTTTAAGTCAAAAAAAGTTTCTTCTTTGAGAATCTTTCCTCTAAGGATGTATGTATAATGGTGTTCACTACAGCATTATTTTAAGAGTGAAAACTGAGATGTCTTGGTTCCCAACATGGTGGCCACCTGGGTATGCTGTGGCTCATGTCAGTCACCATGGGACCTTAGACGGTTGACACCACCACCACTGGGGGCAAGGAGACACAAGTGTGAGGACCTCAAAGTGGGACAATATATTTGTAAATACATAAAGACAAACAATGTTAGCAAGAACCAGTCACCTGTACAAACTGTACAGCTCGTGTGTTCCCTAGCACCCATCAAAACTTGTAAGGATTTGGGGCTGGCCCCGTGGCCGAGTGGTTAAGTTCGCGCGCTCTGATGCAGGCGGCCCAGTGTTTCGTTGGTTCGAATCCTGGGCGCGGACATGACACTGCTCATCAAACCACGCTGAGGCAGCGTCCCACATACCACAACTAGAAGGACCCACAACGAAGAATATACAACTATGTACCGGGGGGGCTTTGGGGAGAAAAAGGAAAAAATAAAAAAAATCTTTAAAAAAAAAAAAAAAAAAAAAAAAAACTTGTAAGGATTTCAGTGGCAGTGAAACATCTGATTGGAAATAAAGTTCATTTTCTCAAGCCTATATCTTGTCAAAATGTCAAAACAACTACTCATATAAAGCAGCAGTTGCACTGTCTTTTTCTCGGACAGTCAGCAGCAGATTGATTTTCCCTTGGATGCTCTGCCTTGGGCTGTTGACGGTTTGCACTGGAGGGTTTTGTGGATCGGGAGCTTAACTTATTTCATTCTTACTTCAATGCAGACTGTTGGACCTTCAGACGGAAGTGGTTATGTTACAGATTATTATGGAACCAGACTTACAAGACTATTACTAATGAAATATTTAGAAAAACAGTCATATCTGTAAATATTTTTTAAAAGAAACAGATCTGAGCCTCCTTGAATTTGATAGAGAACTCCAAGTATGTGGATTTCCAGATTTTCCTTTTTCCTTCTTAGCATACCACTTTATGGGTTCTATACAACTTTTTGTTGTTATTGCTTTTAGTGTTGTTGTTTTAGTTAAAAGTATATATTCTGAGATTTTTAATAGAACTTTCTTTAAGAGCTGTATGAAAAAAAGGAGGAAAAGGTTTGAAGCAACCTAGATCAAAGACTGACTGGGAAACAAAACTATGGTGCAGACACAGAATGGAGTAATAGACAGCTGTAACAAAGAAAGAGGAAGTTCCTTACATTCTGATAGGGAACTATCATCAAGATGTATCTGAAAAAAGGAAGGTACAGAATAGTGTACAGTTGGTTATCATTTGTGCAAAAGAAGGGAGAAGACTACATACGTGCATTTGCTTGTGGACACAGAGAAGATCTCTGGAAAGACACAGACACAACTAGTAACACTCGTTGCCTCTGTGCAGGGAAGTGGTCACTGGGGGACAAGGCGACAGGCTTTCACTTTATGTTCCTTTTGTACCTTCTGAATTCACACCATGTAACCATATTATCTATCCAAAAGGTCTGTCTGTACTCTTCTAAAAGTGAATTATGATATGTAAGCTTAAAAAAACAGAATATATAAAAGTTTTCATATGCCCAAACAATCGTATAAACAAAACATATGTATGGGGGAAACAGGAGATTATTACATCAAGATGGTAATAATATTTTCCTTTTCTCTATTTCTCCAGAATTTTATTATGCAGTTATAATAGACTTTTTTTTAAGTATTTTTTTTTCTATGTTTAACTTAGTTCCTCCTTGGCTACACCAGTATTTCAACCAGTAATCATGTTGAAAAAGATGGAAATGAAGACCAGAGACTTCAGAATTCCCATATTCACAGAATACTCAACAAAAGAAAAAAACCTGCTGTCCTAAAAAGTTGGTGAATCAATAGTTTCCAAAGCTTTATGAAAACACGTGGGGTATACAGAAAGAACTGCAAATAACAGTTCTCCAGGTAAGCAGTAAAAAGGGAGAGGAAAATACTCTTCCATCAGGAAGCAAATCATTGAATGACATAAGGCACAGTTTCATAATCATACTCGAGAGCTCCTTGTTTCAAATGACTACTCTTCAACTTCCTATATTTTCCCTCATTCTCATCACTGGTAACCAAGGATACCACAGGTTTTCCTAAGCTTCTATCTCCAAAACATTAAACTAGTTTTCTGTTTAAAATGGGGAGGCAGCAAAAAAGAGGACTTTTAATTTTTAAAAAAAGCACACTAAGTTCTCATAAAATCATTGCCTGTGTTCTCTGACACTGGGTAAAACAGATTTGGAAACAACTTCTGAACTGAACAAGCTGAAAGAAGGGAATCACCCCATCCCAAAAGCAGGTAAGCAGTGACCCATTTTTGGAATGAAAAGGAAACACAACAGTCAGGGGCTTAACAAGCCCAGCCACTACGGCCATGGTCTTGGGCTCAGCTCCTTAGACTGACATTCACTTGAGTGTATCATCTGATAGTCACTTTCGTGGTTGCAATTTATGAGCTGCCAGTGTTTACTTGTGAGACTGTCTGGGAGCTGGAAGGGAAGGAAGATAAATACACCAAAGCCCAGCTGAGCAACAGATAAGTTTTACATTTTATTTCCAGGAAATGACATCTTGTTTTCATAAAGAAGAGGTATACCATCCTCTCAAACAGAGGCTGCTTTAGCTTTCAGGTATAGCCACAGGGGTACACCAAACCTGTCCAAAACAAATGTCAACAGAGGTGCTTCTGAGGTACCAAAACAAAACAACAACAAACTTAGAAAGCAGTACAGAACTATATAACCCATTCAACATGTAGTGAAGCAGAGTCCATCAAGTACCCTGAAGCGGTCGATGCGCTGAGTACCAGTGGTGCTTCAGACAACGGTGGCAGCAGGGCTGGCCAACATGGAAGGCTCGTGACGGAGGACTTCCTAACTCAGTCTTTGTTCCACGTGGCTCTATCCCACGCTCTGTCTCAGAGTAGCCCAAAACCCGTCCACAGAGAATCCTCCAGACCATCCCAAGCTCCCATTGCCTGGTAGTCTTTCAAATGCCCCGGAGCACGGTCTTCAGGACAGCCTCTTTGCTTTGGAAAGAAAGAAAGGAGAAATAAAGGAAGAGCTTGTATTTCCCTCCTCTGGCATCCCTGTTGCCACCCTCAGTCTCTTTCCCCCACAGCAGCCATGGCGAACCGAGAAAACAAAAGTCGCATCATGTCACTCTGGCTCAAAGCCAGCTCCCCACTTCTCCCAGAGTAAGAGTTAAAGTCCAAGTTCTTCCAAAGGCCTATAAGGCCCTACACAATCTGGCCCTGCCCAACCTTCTGACCTCACCTCGTCCTCTCCTACTCCTCTCCCCCATCACTCACTCCACTCCAGCTACACTGGCCTCCTTGTCGTTCCTCCAGCACTCCAAGCTCACTCTCTCTTCCTAGTCCCTCTGCCTGGGATACTCTTTCCCCAGATGACAGCATGGCGACTGCCTTCAGAGCTTTACTCTAATATTACCTTCTCGGTGAAGCCTTCCTTGACCACCCTATCAAAATTTGCCAATGCTCTCCCCATCTCTCCCTGACTGCTTTCTTGCTTTATTTTCCCCCATAGCAGTAATCACATCTAACATTAGATTTTCACTTCTCCTTCTATTCCTCACACCTACAACAGTGCCTGGCACAAAGCTGGCCCTCAATAACGAATCTGCTGAAGGAAAGAAGAAATCACATACATAGCAACAGGTAGGGAGAGGTGGGAGTTCTTCCTCTGTCCAGAGAGGGAGGGGGTAGGAGGGGCTATTTACTGGCTTCCAGTCGTTTCTGATAGCTTCTCCTTCCTCGATCCCAGGGAAGCAGGGATCCTGGCCTATACTAAGGGCATAATAAAACCACCAAGGAAACTGTCCCCTTCTCTGAGACTGAGGTCTGGAACGCTTTGGTAGGAGGATTGAAAAGATTACAAAGGTTACTTTTCTCCCACTTGCGGGCAGTCTTTGAGGTGGTGGGATCTGGGGCTGGGCATGCCTTCAGCCTTGGAGAGCTGAGAGAACCGAGCGAAGCTCCCTTCCTCTCAGTTAATGGCCTCACCTAATAGCTCCCAGAAAAATACCGAAGCCACAAAAAAGAAATTCTCTTGACTCCCTACAAGCAAATTTCCTTGCCTACCCTCCCACATTATGCTCTTTCTCTATACAAGAGGCTGTACGCATGTACCCTCCTACTTTTAAAGACTAACCCCTCCGTCTGTGCTCTGCATTCCTTCTCTCCTGCCTTCCAAAGAATCTTGCCCTATCCACTGCCTCGGCTTTCCAGCACCTCCCTCTCTACAGGCTCCTTCCAATCAGCAAGTGAACATGCTCACCTCTCTCATGCCTTTAAAAAACAGAACGAAAACTTCCTTTTACCCCACTTCCTCCTCCACCTACAGCCTTCTCTTGTGTTGCTCCCCCTCATCTTAGTCACAGCGAAATTTCCTGCAGAACTTGTCTATTCTTACTCTTCTCTACTCCCTCACCTCACATTCATTCTCCAATTCTCTGCAAACTGGACTGGATCCCACCAGTCCCCCAAACTTGTACTAGATAAAGTCAGTAATTTCCCACACATCTGCTACCTCCAAAGTGCAATTTTTCGTCCTTATCTTGTTTAACTTCTCAGCTGCATTTCACACTGCTGACTCCTCACTTCATCACCATTCATAACCACGTATTTACTCAAGACCTACCAAACACTCTTCTAAGTGTGGCCCTGAGAATGCCACATGGAGTCAGATAAAATCCCTGTCCCCGAGTTTATAAATCTAGGGGCAAGAGCACACTAACAAATACAACTTCAATCTGGTAAGTGTTTGAAAGAGATAACAGGGAGACGTCTAGAATGTGATGAGGTGGCTACCTCAGACACAGGCATCCTCGGGAAGGCTCAAGGCACACAATTCTGATGGCTTTGTTGCCTGTCCCACACTTCCCTCTTTTTCCATCTCCCTTTGGCCATTCCTCACTGTTCTGTCCTGCATACTCCTCTCCCACTACCCATCCCTTAAATGTTGGTGTTTCTCAGGGATAGGTACTTGACCTTTGGCTCTTACCACTCACAGAGAGTGTGTAAAGTGGCTTATCCACTTCCATGGCTCATAATCCCAAATCTAGTATCCTAACTCAGGCCTATCTTCTAGGCCCCAGATCCACATACTCAAACACCCACTGAACAGTTCCACTGATGCCCACAGGTGCCTTCAACTTACTTTTCAGTCTAAAACTTATCTTCCTGCCAAACTGCTTCTCATTTCAGTGAATGCCCCATCATCCACCCATCTGCGCCTGGCAGAAACCTGGGAGTGATCCTCGACTCTGAGCTCCCTCCCATTCCTCCCAGCAAACCAGTCTCAAGAACCTGTAGATTCTACTCCCTTAACTACCACACAAGTTCATCCACTCTCTCCATCCCCACAGCTACTTCTCTAGCCCAGCCACCATCATCTTTGGCTGGGGGTACTGGTATCTATTCTTGTTCCCATCACCACTTATTCTTGTCACTGCAGCCACATTAACCTATCCAGAAAAACATAAACACAAGCAGTCACATCTCCACTTAAAATCTTCTGATAGTTTTCCCAATGTCCCTAGGCTAAATCTTTAACATAGTCTAGAAGATGCTTCACGATCCAGTCCTGCCTACTTTTCCAGCCTCACAGCTCAACATTTTCTCCAGCATGCTACAATTCAGCCACATTGGACTTCTTTCAGCCCTCAAAATCCCCTTGCTTTCTTGCTTCTGGACCCTCCACTTATAATATACACCCATAGCCCTTCACTTCCCTTCACTTTCTTGCCTGCCCTTGACCTTTACCTATCACCCTTCATTTCTCTTATTATAGCACTCTTCTATAAGCAGCCTAGGCCCTACATCTAGACTGAAAGTGCCATGAAGGCAGGGGCTGCACATGCCCTGCTGACTTTTATCCCCAGCCCCTGGCGCTTAACAGGTACTGAGAAGACAGAAAGGCCCAGAGAAAGGAAGCAAGGAAGAGATGTTTCTCTGAGGTTAGTTCTGGTTCAGTTTTCATGGGACAAGGGTAAAAGAGGTCCAAACTCTCCAGGGTAGGAAAGCAGAAAGCCATTCAAGCAGAAGCCCTAGACAGGAGCAGAAGCATGCCTAGTCTTAAGATTTCTTAAGAATGACAGCAACAGGCCGTTGGGCAGGATATGTATCCAGCTGATGCAAAGAAGCCTCAATGGTGATGTACCTAAGTCAATGGTACTAGGGGGTCTGGGGTGGGGGAGGAAGAGGAATAATCAGCGACGCCAGCCACTTCCCATGATTAGTTCATGGAAATCTAGAATACCAACTTATTTAGGCTCTAAAAATACCCTGTGTTCATCTAGAGTTAAGTGCAGGAACCAAGAAACTCTCAAGGAAAAGCTGCTTTGATTAATAACTTGACTCTACGTTTACACAGGTGGTCTTCCACAATAAGAAGTTCCTGGAGGGATGTCTGAAAAGCAAATCATAAAGTTACACATTAGTGGAGAGGGAGGATCAATGTTTTTAGAGAGCCAAATATCTCTTGCTTTATCATTAAAAAAAAAATGGCCAGGAGAAATCTCTGCTGTGGAAAACAGCAATGAATGATCTGAAGTACCTCCTGCTGGAACCCCAGAGATGGCCAGAACTGCTCATACTTGCTTCTTTTGAAGCTCTAGTGTATGCTCGTGTTCCTGCTCCGGGCCCTTCTCCTCAGCCTGGTGGGCAAGCCTTGGCCAGCAAGCGCTGGTCCTCCCCTTCACTACAACATGGTGGGGGCTGGCCAGAGTTCCTGACTTAGTGGGCAGGTAGTCAAGGCCAGCCCTGGATCTCTTCACTCTGGCCTGCATGGTTCCCTCAAACCTGACCTTATACGCATTTGCAGCGCACTGAGGGATCATTCATCACATGCAGGAAGGCCCTCTGCTAAGCTGTGAAACCTTTTCCGGGTGCCTGCAGTGAGGTGATGGCTTTTGGTGAAGGGGAGAAGACACTCCACCACAGAGCACTGAAGTCAGGAATCGGCTTTTGACCTCCAGATGGAAGGACCATTCAGAAATCCCAAGGATTACAAAGTCATCAAGATATGTGAGGTTCTAGGATTTCCTAAGTTTCTACTCCATATATTCCAATTAATCCCACAGCTGACTTAGTTACTAAGATCACAGTCCCTTCCACCACTGAGTAAACAATTCCTATGGTGCCTTTGTCATTTCCAACTGTGCATTCTGAGACGCCAATAAGGGTGACAGGGGAGACACCCATCAAAGGACAAGGCAAGGAAGGACAAAAGGAGACAAAATAAGAAAAGGGGAGGGAAAAAGGAGAGGGAAAAATAAGGGGTGGTAATATAAAGATAAGAAAAAGCTTTTAGTGACAAGTCTGGTAATTTTCTATCCCATGACGATTTTGCAAGGGATACATTTTTAGGGTCCAGCACTGTATACTATTTGAGTGCATGTATGTGGACACCCCCACCCCATGCCAATCTTCTGAGAGCCATCTTTCCTTAGACCAACAGTGTCCTATACAAGGTAGGCTTGCTGACTTCATGCACATGACCCTCTAGATTCCCTACGGGCAGGACTGGGTGGATTAGAAGTACTTGCTAACAAGTAATCTCTCTGGGTGAGGTAGACCTGCCAGACACTGTCACTCCTGCCATGCTCCAAATACGCCTCCACAAGGCTCTGTCCTTCAGCAAGAGATGATGAGCAGTATCAGGGAAAGCCTTCCAGGTGGGCAGGCAGAGACTCTCTTCAGAGACTGCTGGTTTCTCCTGTCCCATGTCTGGAACACTCTGCTCCTAGCCTACAGGAAGGGGAAAGAACCACAGGCAATGTGGTCTGCCCTGGACAGATCTTCCTAGAGACTCCCAACCACTGGAAGGGCCTCTGTCTCACAGATTCAGGAAAGCTGTGGTTCATAAACCTTTCTCCCCACCTCAGCCCACCTGAAGACCTTGGCACACTCCTATTTGTAGCCTCAGTTCAATACTATAGTGTCAAGGGAGCTGGAGAATGTAGTTTGAAAAAGCCCCTGGACTGAAAATCACTGTTCTAAAGGACCAAGATTTTATTTCTAGATAATTTGCTTCTTTTCTGAGCACAACCCAAAGAAACTGCTAGGGAAAGCTCAAAGTGAGAATGTTAACACTCTTGTCAACCAACCAACATTTAATAGGAACAAACAGGGGAGGGAGAGCAGCTGACAGAAGACTCTGCTCCAGCATCTCACCAGCTCCACAGGAGATCTTCTACAGGGATGTCAAAAAATGTCTCCCCTTCAGAAAAATCTCACATCAATATCCCAGACAGCCACAATCACTCATGCAACAAGCACTTACTGGATGTTCGTTATCTGCCCCAGCTCCAGGGCATCCTCTCTCCAACACAGGATCTGGCATCCTAACATTGTCCTCCTCCCCCTCTCCTTTGTATAAACTGGCCTCACAGAGTTTACAAGGGATCGATGGCTCATCAGTCATGAGGCATTGCTCCTCCCAGGGGGATGTGGAACTTGAAGACAGCAACCAGCCTGGAAGGCCTGGAGTGGGGCTGCTCTTGGTGGAATCACAGCCCCACGCTGCCACGGACAGGCAGATCTCCCTCCCTGAACTTGTGATAAGAGCAACCCCTGCCCAGGAGGAAAACAGCCCTGCTATAGCATCAGAACTTTGACAATTACAGGCTTGCCAATCCTAGTTTCCAGATCCTAAGTTTGGTCCTTTGTAAAATTCCAATGCACTGGGGATTAAACCAGCTTTCAATTGGCAAGGAAGGTTGGTATTTGAACTGAGAATTTTCTCTAAATCCCACATTGCAGCCCAGTGAAGCTGCTGATGGCTCTGGCACACGCTTCCCTAAATGGGGCCTCAGACCTTCTGCCTGTCTCTAGAGAAAACCTCAAAGCTGCACCTGCTGTGATAACTGCAGAAACTGAGACTGGTGCCAGAACTGCTCTCAGCCAACAAATGCAACAGAGAGACTGATTAGGTTTACTGTGTGGGCTCCTGGTGTTACCACAAAGGCAAAGAGGCACTCTCGTTAGCCTTTGGAGAGAAAAGGAGGGTTTGATATTATTTACTCTGCATAATTAATTCTGCATGAGAGGAGTCAGAGGTGAACTAAGGACATGGGGCTCCTCTTTCCCTTTCCAACGCTGCATGAAGTTCTTTTTCCAATGCTGCACCAAGTATCTACTGTGCTTGGACTTGTGAGAAGAAATCTTGTCAGTGGGCTGGATGAAGAAAGTAGATGGGTATCCCCAGCCCCACACAGACCCAGCACACTTTAGCTCAAAGGTTGATGTTGGTCAAATCTGGGCTCCCAGGTCACCGCTCCTCTGGGAAAGGGAAGAGAGAAGAAAACAAGGCATTCACAACGCCCCAGCAGACATCTCCTAAGCCTTGGCTGTCATGCTGCTCTGGCACCACAGAGACATTATGTCTTGTGTGGGACATGACAGGGTGCTGCTAGGAACAGGCCACTGCCTCTTATGCCTCTGTGCTTTGCTTGTGCTGATTCCTCTGCTTGGAAAGCTACCCCCGGGGAACCTCTAAGACTCAGTTCAAGCAGCGCTTCTTCCGTGAAGCTTTCTCCCATACCTCCACTTGCCCAGGCCAAACTGAGTGTCCTCTCCTCTGCAGTTTGCTAGCACCCTGTTGTGGAACTTGTCACACTGCCTACTTGCCTTCTATCTCTTCCATAGACTCTGAGTGTTGTGAGAGCTGAGATGATGCCTTATTTTTTTCTTTCTTTTTTTTTTTTTTTTTTGAGGAAAATTAGCCCAGAGATAACATCTGCTGCCAATCCTCCTCTTTTTGCTGAGGAAGACTGGCCCTGAACTAACATCTGTGCCCATCTTCCTCTACTTTATATGTGGGACGCCTACCATAGCACGGCTTACCAAGCAGTGCCATGTCCGCACCTGGGATCCGAACCGGCGAATCCCGGGCCGCTGAAGTGGAACGTGCACACTTAACCCCTGCACCACTGCGCAGGCCCCTATTTATCTCTTTATATCCCGGTGTGTAATGTAGAGTTCCTATAAATGCTTACAGAGCAATGGGAGGTAGAAAGGAAGAACAATGGGATTCTGTCAGAATCAAGTGTCTCCTGGGAGGTAAAAAAATCTGTGGGGCCTTAAAACTGGGCACAAAATCCAACAGCACATAGCTGTTGGAAAAGTGGCAAACACTTTGGTTCTAAAGAACCACCCAATGGCCACCCCACCCTCCCACAGGTCAGAATGTCTTGTATGGGCATATTAGGCTCAAGCACAATTCCTGCTCAGCACCCACACCACCTGGCTCTGTGACAGGCTGCTGCCTCCACTCTGGCTGACCAACAGAGGGCCAGTCTGATACCACAGCTGCTTGCAAATTAGCATCAGATTCCTGACCCTACTCAGAGTGGCTGATACCTGTTGAAGAGCTATGAGAAAGGAAGCAGTGGAGAGAAGACCTGTTCTTAAGAGTGTGGCTTTTAAATCGTCAGCTTCTCTGGACTTAGAGAAAGGTATATCCAAAGACACACATGAACATAGGTTACCAACGGCCAGGTGGTGGGTAGCACCTGTAAGGGCAGAGAGCTTCTGGTTCTTCTCTGAAAGGCCTTTCTGTGCAGCCAACTGACATCACAGCACTTTGGCCCTGAAGCTTTCCCAGAAGGTAGTACTGTACTGAATTATTAAAGGGACTGAACATGATAATCAGATCCACCCTGCTTATATGCACTCTCATCCCTGCCCAATAACCAATCCTTCCTATTTGCTAGCTTCCTTGTGCTTTGCCCTAGGACATATTCCTCTGCCACAAGGACACTGCAGAGTGGCTCTGCAACCCTCAACACAGCAGGTCCCAAGTGTGATGAGATCACTTGGTGAAAGCAAGATATTCACTATGAGCAGATATTCACTATGCAGGCATGATCTGTTAGGGAAACTCAACAATCCCTTCCCCAATCTCTTTATCCCAACTCTGTCCAGGTGGGAGCCTTGTTAGTAAATATATTAGGATACCCAACAATAACACGGTAAAGTTAAATTTATCTCTTTGGTTTAACAATATGCCCGATTTGGTATTTAAGCTGTGACTCTTATATAGTTCATAGAAGCTGTATGTTTTCTTCAGGCATTCTCCAAACTGTGAATCTTTGACTTGTATACATCCTATTTATAACTGATTGTATACTCAACCCAAGATTTTTGCAACACCTGGACAGCAACCAAACTGTCTTGAACAACAGCATCTTCTAGTGATCAGTACAGCAAACTGTTTGACCATGTTTTCTAATCAGGTCTTTTTTTATCCCTACAACCAAGGCACACACACTTTAGTCTCCCCTTTCCCTTCTGCTTGAATACCTAAGTTAATTCTACCTCAACTCTTTCTCACACGTTATCTTTAACTCTTTACTTTTTCTCATTTCTTCCACCTCTTCTTTAGCTCAAGACTCATTTATCTGACTCTCTTCCCCAATCAAAAAAAATCTGCCCCAAGCTTGAAAATAAGTCCTTTGTTGATGGGATACACTTTCTTGTTCATACCCACTCACCTTTTCGCTCCCTAATGAGGACAATTCGTCGTTCTTTCACTTCTGAACTCAGATTATCTACCATCTTATTAATGCAATTGTCCAGGACCAGGGAGTGAGTTTTGGACTTGATGTCCTTCCGACAAATGGGGCATTCTATCTTCCGCTTCATCCATTCATTGATACAGTAGGAGCAGAAGCTATGGGCACAGTTCAAGGTGACAGCCTAAAGAGGAATGGGAACACACACATCAGAACTGTCACACTTACTTTCTCAGGGCAATTGTGATCTCAAAGCTAGGACAGGAGTTAATTTCCAAAGCCAAATGGAAATTTAACCAGAATCCCATTTAGAGGGCTTACAAAGGGTATTAGAATCATTCTCAGGGATGGGAAATTTTAAGCTTCAAGTTAGACAATTCATTTTCTTTCTGAAAGTTCACGGACTCAGGCCCCAGGTAGGCTGATTTGTCCATTTTGTTCCACTCAGACCACACTGCCAATGTGGGTTAGCTACCTTGCAAATGAATTCACTGGACAAAGCAGGACTGGTAAGCATGTGAATGTTCGATACAAATACATCACTAATTCTCTTATGAAAAACAAACGTATGTCCTCCTAATGGTGAGTTAGAACCTCGATTTTAATATATGAAGGGGAGCACCTTCTGAATACTCAGTATATAGAATGGTAGAAGATATCATCTCTATTCAAAAGCAACTAAAAAAGTAAAATAAATGTAAAAAGACAACTAAAAAGGCTGGGGAAAAAGGAACTAAAAAATATTTTTTAAATGTAGTGGGTTCACTGACAGTGCCTGAACCCCTAAGTAAATAAGCCTATGAGAAGAGAGAAAGCAGAAGGAAGCCTCTATTTGCGGGGCTCCTCTGAGTAATTCCAACAGTTAGACTTCTGCCAGGGCCCTTTTAACTCCCAAGAACATAATCCATTCTCTTCGTTACTCTTATTTATGTACATCTCCTATGACACAACTTATGCTGAGGCTCAAAAGTCTTCATTTCTGTTTTTAGGATAGCAGTGGAAAATAACACAGAAATTATGTATATTTCAAATGCCAAGTTGAGCCCAGAGAGCCAACTAGGAGACATTCCGTTTACTGTATGAGATAAATTCTCAAAAACAGGAGTAAAAACCTGTCTGATTAAAATGAAACCTCTTCCCAACACTGACTTTAAGAGGTGAACCGTAGAAAAAGGTCAGGTGGTGTTTGTAAACAAAACACAGGTCAAACTGTTTGTGTCTTATATGTCTGTGCAGATGCCTGGGCTGGCTAACTCATCACCCATTCCAACGCCCGTTTCCTTGTCTTCCTCTAATAGAGTCCATAAGCCCTGTCAAAACAACACTGAGTTTCTCCAAAGTAGAGAATCAAATGACTAGAAACTATGGGGGAAATTGTGACCTGAAGTCAAAGTGGATCCAGAGCAAAAGAAACAGGTCTACCCAGAAAAGATTTTTCAGGAAGCTAATAGACTCAATCTCCCTAAAGACCACCAGAAAAAAGCAAGCAGTGTGTGTATGCATTTTCCTTTGTAAAGGAGTCTGACAAGCACTGTCATTTAACACTTGTGGTTTAAGATGAACTGGTCACAAATGGTAGAATTGGTGAAAAATTAAAAGAGAGTCTGTGCAAAAATGTGACAGGATAACAAATGGTAACCCCAGAGAGAGATGTTTCATTTTCATAAGGAGCCTGAGACTCCCTGAAATATGTTCTACTTGGCCATGGAACTCCCAAAGTGACCACACACATCAATGACATTAACCACCCTGTTTAAAGGCTGCACTATACACCTGCTCTCAGCACTGTGACCATTCAGGGTAGAGAGTAGCTTCACTGAGCAGCTGATACTTCAAACATCTAATGCCATGTAGCCCTGTTTTCTCCCCAACAACAAAGAGATAAAGGCTTTACTGCAACTAAAAATATTGATTACACCAAATAAATACTCAAAAACAAGTGAAATAAGAAAAAGTATAGCACAGGTAAAGGAGACTACAAAAACAAATGAGAAGTGGCCATCTCTAGAGGTCACTGAAGTCAAATAGCTACATTAAGTCCCTAGAAGAAAAATCTCTTCAAAATGTTTCCCTATAGCAGAAGCAGCCCATGTAGCTGAGGCCCCATTCAGGGTTGGGAGAGTGAGAGGGCATGAGCCACTGCTCATAATTACCTCAATGAAGTATTCTGAGCAAATAATACACTGGAGCTCATTCTCTAGCACGTCATTCATGTGGCTGAGAACTTCCTCCTTCTGTGCTTGTACCTTCTCCTTCTCTTCCTGCAAAGACACACAACCCCACCTGTCATTCAGGAGAATGACTACAAGAAAGCAACATAGGACAGAGATGGAGTTAATCATCTGGAATGAGATCCAAGAGGAGTCTAACTTAAAAATTCATCCTGGAGCAGCAAGACAAGAATAAAACACTTTCCCCAGGGGTTACTGCTTCTCAGAACTGCTTTGTAATACAAGTCACTGTCTTCCTTCCTTTCTTGTCTCCACTTTCTCAGTATTTGTAGTTTCTGTCTCCTTCCCAAAATTAACCAAATGAGAAAAACTGAAGGTGGCATACTAACCCTGCCAACCACCCAAGACCAGAACAAGGCATTAAGTATCTTACAGCTAACTGCAGTTTAGAGGTAATATAAAATCACCCCAAGCAACCCAGAACTCACGGGACAAGAAAGAAGACATGAAGAAACAGCTCATAAAGGCAGGAAGGCTGAGTCAGTTTTAGGTCCCTTGTGTTCTTTGCAGCTGCCACTTCTATAAAGTAAGGATGACAGCTACATTCCCCGCAGGCAGGAGGCTGAGGAGACGGCCTCTCTGAAGTACCTTCAGGCCTCCAGCTCTGTGCTGTTCGCCACTTCCCACTCCTGCAGAGGTCTGCAGCGCAGCTTCCCTTTGCTTTCCCCAAGAGGCCAGATCACTGGTAGACACACTTTTTAGGGAAGATCCTAGGTGCGCTCTCTTAAAGCAGACGCTTATTTAAGTCAGCACCTCAACCCCAAAACAGAAAGTATTAGGAGCCCCTGAAGGGGAGAGAAAAAGTCATTTAGGGTATATTTGAGTGGTTGATTCACTCTTCATCTTTTATTTTCTCTTCTAATCAAAGCAAAGACTGTCAGATTGCTTGGGGTAGTGAAGAGGATCTGGACCCATTTCTAACTAGAGTCAAGTTCCCTAAAAACTTATGAATTGGGGAAAAGGCACTGTGATTTAAACAGAGGACAAGGATAGCAAACTAACTGAAAAGAGAGCCTCCTCTTTTCTGTACCGTGATCCAGGTCGGTATGCGAGGAGGGGCATGCTGAGAGAGGCGGGGAGACTCAGGCATTAATTTCAGCTCAGAGGTTGCAAACTGGTGGCCTGGGGACTGGATACACCCTGTAGACTCGTTTAGGTTGGTCCTCATGGTATTAAAAAACAAAACAAAAAATTGAATTTGTTGCCAGTATTTGAAAATTGGGATATTTCACATAAACATTCAGAGTTCTGTCTTCTGTGGAAAACTCAGAAGATCTGACAACACTGTGCTTGCATTTCTCAATGGCAACAACTGGCTGCAACAGAGAAGAGCCGCCTCTTGGGGTGAGGGGAGGGTGAGGGGGCTAGTGCCCCTTTCCAGTGCGCCTCTGTCCCCATAGCTCCCACTGTGTTCTTACACCTAGGCCACCTCACCTATTTCTATTACCAGTCTGATCCCAGTGGGCATTTGAGTTTATAACCCCTAATTTATGAGTTCCATTGATTTGATGTAGGAAATAATTACAAAAATCCATCAGGATGAACTATTCTTTATTTTGACTACACCACTCCTTAGCCTGAGTCAGCGAGACACTCTGAAGGGGCATCTACCACAGACAACGGACTAGACTGCAGGATGTGAGTGTTTCAGTCCCAGCATTTTGCTTCTGAATGAGGGAAGGAATACATGTTGTCTAACAGGCAGACCTTCTATAGGCCTGAATAATTTTAGAGATTATTTCCCCTGAAGCAGGGAACAGTCGTAATCTGTCTCTTTATTCACCATAGCAACCCCTGCACTGTTGAAAACGCTGAGCTGCATGTACTAACCAAATTCTAAACCTTCATCTTCTTTCCAGTACCTTGGTCTGCTCCAATTCTTTGTTCTTGGCTTGAAGGATGGCTTCAAAGTCCTTCTTGCTGCGATTTAGCTCTTCCATTAGAGCCTGATGCTGCAGAAACACAGCAGATACATACTCAAGATGAGCTACACGGCATCTTTCCTTTTAGCCACACACACGCCTGTTCCCTCCTTCTGTCAGTGGCTTTGGTTCAAGGGATCAGTGGACTGGCAATTTCAAAATAATGCTTTTGCTCCCCAGGACATCTCAATTACCTTTTTCTTTTCAGGGAAGGGGGCAGATAGGGAGGGAGGCCATGAAATCCATTAATCCCTCTGGAAATAACCCAATCTCCATGGCCATCCAAATCAACTTAAGAACTTACACTGCCTTCCAGAAGGTCTGATTCTGTACCTTTAGATTGGGGCCCAGGAATGTGCATTTTTTTAAAAAGCCACCCAAGGGATACAGGGAACCAATGATCAAGATCTAGTAAGTAGGGGCCAGCCCTGTGGCCGAGTGGTTAAGTTCGTGTGCTCTGCTTCTGTGGCCCAGGGTTTCGCTGGTTCAGGTCCTGGGCGCGGACATGGCACCGCTCATCAAGCCATGCTGAGGTGGTGTCCCACATAACACAACTAGAGGGACCTGCAACTAGAATATACAACTATGTACTGGGGGTCTTTGGAGAGAAAAAAAAAAAAAAGATTTGCAACAGATGTTAGCTCAGGTGCCAATCTTTAAAAAAAAAAGAAAAAGAACTAGTAAGTAACTCAGGCTACCCAGCACTGGGAGTGGCTTTTAAGAACTAAATAAAGAAGGGGCCGGCCTGGTGGTGCAGCGGTTAAGTGTGCATGTTCCACTTCAGCGGCCCAGGGTTCGCCAGTTCGGATACCGGGTGCAGACATGGCACCACTTGGCAAGTCACGCTGTGGTAGGAGTCCCACATATAAAGTAGAGGAAGATGGGCACAGATGTTAGCTCAGGGCCAGTCTTCCTCAGCAAAAAGAGGAGGTTTGGCAGCAGTTAGCTCAGGACTAATCTTCCTTTAAAAAAAATAAATAAATAATGATCAAGGAGAAATGAGATTCAGGAAAACTAGATAATCATTTTCATTAAAATAAAAAAGAACGTTAACCTATTTATTCTACAAATTACACACTATACACTGATAAGGCAATATTGCCTGAACCCTGCCTATGTCTTCTGGAAGCTGCCACACCCAAGAACTGACAGCTCATTCATTGTGACTAACTGCCTACACCAAATGTCAAGAGGGTGCACGTCCATCAAACATAATTTTTGATCTCCCTTATGCTTAAGTAGAGCTTATACTTTAAATCTCATCTCAAATCCCTTTTTAAAGAAGGTCAAGTAGAGGTAAGTATTTCTGAAAAGATATTCTCAAGAAACAAATTTTAAAATGTGTGGTCTCCTAGAAAAAAGCAGTTATGTCAGAAGGCCTGGGTATTCATCTGGACTGCTGATTAGATGTGTGTGCCGTTAACTTGCTCATCTATAAAATGGGAAAACAGGTCCCCCTCCTATATCAGTGTTAATAATAAAATAACAGATATGAAAGCACTAGAAAAGTTTTTTAAGTTCTACATAAATGCAAGTCGTTATAATGGCCTGGCAAATGAAAAAGAACAGCTTCAGAGGGACCAAAAGGGTGGACCAAAATACAACCACGTTTCAGCTGAGAGAGTGGTACATCCCCCAGGCAGGTTAAAGTATATCATTTTAGGCTAATGAATGGAGACTGGCCAAGCACCTCACACTAAATGATAGTGTTTTCCTCTCTGTCTCAGACAAGGGTGAGCAGCTGTGGGTGCAGGGTACTCAATGATCCCTTGGAGATTTCCAAGTAGCAGAACCTTACTCTTTTCCAGTCAACTTTAAAATAGTATCTGAATATTAATTTAATAATGCTCTAAATGGTAAACATGCCTACCCTCCCACCCTAGAAAATAAACAAGCTTAGAAAATAAAATTCCAAAAAGATTGAATTCATTTTCACCTAATTCTTTCCAAGGCTGTTTGTGCACCCCCAAGGAAATCAAGGCAGGCTTCGTCCCAAGCTTATAGTAATATGTGACTGTTAACACTATAAGAAGGTTGGGAGGTAGATATACAATAAAAGAACATAAGGAGAAATTCTCCTGAACAAATTCTAATGCAATTGCTCACTTTTTTCAAGGAGATATGAACCATCCCACTAACCTCCTAACCAAACTTGCATCAAACTACTAATCATAACATAAAAAGGAGAGAAGACAAAGTAGGTTTTAAAGATGCAAAAGAGCTTATAAGAAATAATCAGATGAAAGAGGTAGTCAAGTTAAATGAAATAAACTACAGGCAATCTTTTAGGGAAATTTTATTCCTGTGAGCCTTGCCTTTCCAGTAAATAGATATGTTTTGCTGACTGTTAAACTGCACATTCTCGAACTGACCTAAAATGCTTAACTGGAACATTCTTGAATGGTTTCTGGATGGCTTCAGCTCAGGAATGGTGAGGTAAGAGAGGTCCCTGCAGGCCCTGGTGGCCAAGTCATAGCCTGCAATTCCCCTCAGCTGCCCTCACCTTTCTGGAAGTGCGGCCACTTCCCCAGAGAGCCTCCTAATTGCTACAGGCTCTCTTCCATCTTCACTAGAGCAACTCCTGCTCAGATGAAGATGTAAGTTTTCATGCTGAGGTCTGGCTGTCTGTGAGGCTCCAAATCTCCAACCTGATGGTTTGAGCAGCTGCCACCTGCTCTGTCTACAGACTGGAAATGTACAGAGGTGTGTGCTAAGCAGCAGAGGCAGCCAGCAGCCATGCAAAGTCTGCCTGCCCCCTCCCTCCACAGCCCACTATAATCTCAGTACAACGGCAAGAGATAAGTTACCTCCTGCAGAGCCTGGGCCAGCTGCTGCTTCAGGTCCTCTTCTCCTTGCTCTTTCTCCAAACCCTGAAAAGCCAGAAACAAAACGGAAAGTTTCTCGCTGGGAGGGCAAAAAAGGAACAAAATCCAGCAACAAGCAGAGCAAACCAGCTAGTGTGAGCATCTGGGAACAACAGGGGGCAGGGAGCAGGTGGAAAATCTCCGTTTTACTTCAAGCTGTTGGCAGTAAAGGATTTAAGCAGAGTTAACTGCTCAAATACCGCACATCTCAGGGCTGTCACCTTCAAGCCACCATTCAGGTTGTTCTGCAGAAACTCTGGGCTAATACTCCAAGTCTCTACTGGTCAATGCTGTACTCCCAAAAGGATGTAAACTGAGAGCTTCTGAGCTGTCAAATATGTAAACTCATACATAATCCCCCAGACTGGCACTCATGAACTCCACCATGTTTCTTCCCTCAACTCTGGCCACGCTGTCTCTCACTGTGAGTCTCTTCATCACTTCTGGCCCACAAATTGGTTCTCCTCTCACCTTGCCTGAGCTTATGCTATATTTCTTCCATCAGCCCCCTCTGATGTGAATGCCTTCCGCATCATCATTACCCCACATCCAGCACCTTCCACAAGTACCTCTGGGCCATTCCCTCCTCACTTTAACATTTACCTAGTTATTTAAAATGCCAACTTGAAATTGTTCTCTAATTTAAATATACTGAGTTAAAACTGTTCTGATTACTTTATATGTATAATACTCTTGTCTCCTCAACAAGATATATTCCTTAATGGCAAAAACCATTTATTAAGCATCTTTATAACTGCCCAAGCCCAAGTATAGTACCAAGCAGCAAGGGTTAAATAAGCTTGTGAACAAGTAGTAGGGGTAGGATAAATCCCTAGGGCTTGGTGGCAGAGGGAAATGCAGCTAATAAACAAAGGACTAGATACACTTCACTAAGAGTAATTTACACATGACCCTCTCAAACTCAGAGAAATTCTTTAAACCAGTGCTTTTGCCTTTCTTCGCCGTTTTGGTATGGAAAGAGATTTTACAGCTATATCTTGAAGCAAGCCCAGAGCAGCCACAAATATTAATTAATACTAACTCTTTTTCCTGAACACAGCCTTTAAAGAGAGTTCTGCTCTGGTGAAGGGGTCAGATGCTAAATATATAGAGATAAACCTCCCTCTATTAATTTCAAGAACTAGTCCAGGTTGGATAAGGAAAGCAAAAAAGTACACATAGGCAAACAGTGTATACCCTTAGAAAGACGTATTTAATCCATGGCCTTTGCCAATACTACCAGTTTGAGGGGATTCCAGAGATTAGAACGGAAATTTATAAATTGTTCAGAAATAAGTCAACACTGCTGGTTGTTCCTTGCCCTGAGCAAAATAAACAAAAGATAAAAAAGTTTATTCACTTTGATCCTGATTGGCCCTTCTTAGTACGAAGTTCACAATGGGGAATTCTTGACATTCAGATTACCTGAGCAAGTAGGTTGGAGTAAAATGTGCAGTTCTTGCCAGATGGGAACTGACATTTTGAGCAGGGACCAGATCAGCTCTAGCCTGGAAGCTTTCTGCAAGAGCTTGTCAGCTAAGCAAACGACTCAGGGACGGGACACATTTGGTCTTACCTTGACACAGTTAAGACAGTCATTATTTTACCTTCCGGCGAAAGGCAGTGTAGGAAGTGGCTTATCACTCAACTCAACAGTTGAGTTATGGTGTACCTGTTCTCTCCTATGCTGGCTGCTCAGGACAGAAACAAAAACAGTCTGCCTTTCCAGCCTTCCACTTCCTAGGTTAGCTACAGAGTTAATTAACCATCACAGCTAACAAGTTGCCAGGTACAAGGGCCGAGCAACCAGCTGACCCCGACCTGCCTTGGATCTAACTGATTTGCCTTTGACCACAAAGCAAAGAAAGATAACTCACAAGGACAATTCTTGGTTTAATTAGAGTATGCTGTGGTTTTGTGGCACCCTGACCTTCATCCAACCTCTCTGAATTTACCTCGGTTCTGAGATGCCTCAGCTTTACATCCCGAGATCAGCTACATCCCAGCTGGCTCTGCCACCTTATACCCCATCTTCGCACCCCAACTCTATTCTAGCTCTTGATCTGATCATCATGCTGAAGCCTTAATCCTTGACTTGACCCCGTTCTCTCATCTCACAGTTTTCTGTTCCCATTCCATCTCCTGTCCCTGGTGCTCAGTATTGGGTCACTGATCCGGAAACAGAGAGCTCTGGCCAGAGGCTCACAAAGGGCCTGCCCACCCCTCTGAGGGGCAGTCTTGTCTTTCCCTCCTGTGTGGTACCTGGAGATGCTGTTCCTCCTCCTGGAAAGTCTTCTCTAGCTGCTCCACTCGGGCCTGCTGCTGGGCCTGCTCCGCACATAGCTGGGACTGTAAATCCTGGAGTTCCTGCTCCATTTTCACAATCATCTTTGAGTTCCCTTCTTGGGTCTGCTTTTTCACATTCAGAACAGCTACCTGTTTTTCCTGCATTTGTGTTTTCAGCTTCAGAATCCTGGACATGGTCACCCTAAACAGGTCTAAGCTGCTCTGAGACGCTGAAGGGTTTGAGGTTTTTTTCTGCTTCTTTTGCTGAAGCTCTACGACTTCTACGGGGCCAGGGGAAACATGAGCCCCTGTGGTCTTCTCACTCGGCTCAAGAGAAGTCAACTTAGGATCCAAATATTCAGGGGGGTGACTGGCTACTTCACTTTTCCCAGATGACTTCACTGGTTGACCAGGTTCACAAGACACTTTACTTATTTTGCATTTCAAATTTGAGGGCCCTTCAGCTCCAAGACCCTCTAATTCATCCAAACTAAATTTCCTTTTAGTTCTCAGGCCCTTATTTTTTCCTATGATGTGGTCATTCTTTGGGGCAAGACAAGGATATATCCTTTCCCAATCTTCTTCAATAACTTCATATTCATACTCTGCATTCTCCTTATTTTCCAGAGGCACTCCAAGCTGGATGTGGTCTCCCTTACGGATAGAATAGACTTCTAAAGGTTCTAGACGTTCTCTATTCAGCCAAACACCATTCAGACTCTGGGGAAAGGGAAAGAAAGACAAAATAAGCTTCATGATTTTCCTCCTCTTAATGGAATTTCTCTCCTGCCGCTGCAAAACCTTCTGCCTTTTCAGAAGGAAAACTCTTGAGAACAAATAGAAAAGAAAGGTTCAGAAACAGCAGTCTTCAAACAGTGCTTTGGCTTTTTACCTATATTTCACATTCATGCCTCCACAGAGAACTGTCTGTATAACAGGCAGAATCACCTTTTCACTGGTGGATGAATTACTCAAATAAATACAGTAGCACTAAAAGAAACTGAAATTGAATTGCTCCTATTGACCTAAACTGAAGCAATGGCCCAAGATTGAAAAACTGCTGGTAGTGAAGGAAGCAGCACCTAATGAAGAGGTTCAAAAGGTAGGCTTAGCCAGGAAAGTCACACAAGCACTGTCTCTGGATGTGGCCCCTGAACACACTGATGAATGAGCAAAGCACTTCCCAGTACACAAACCAAAAAAGAGAGGAGCAATATCCCGCACTGGAGTCAAACAGCAGGTAGGATCTGACCCCATTAATAGCACCAGAGGTCCATGGGCAATACAGCATAGTGGTTAAGAGCAGGAGTTCTGGACTCAGACAGATTTGGGTGCACAGCCCAAATGCTCCATGTTGGGCTTAGTAACTGCATGGCCTTTGACAATTTACATCACCTCTTTATGCCTCAGTTTTGTCTATAAAATAGGGATAGTACAGTACCTACCTCATAGTTCCCATGAGGAATGAATAATACATGTAAACACTTAGCACAGGGACTCACATATAATAAATGCTTGATAAATATTTACTTTTACCATTTTAATTAAATCTTAGCATAGGGGTGAAGAGTATGGACCCTGGAGTCAGACTGCCTATGTTTGTAATCTGGCTCCAACACTTAATAGCTGTGTGACTTTGGGTAAGTTTCTTAACCTCTCTATGCCCCAGTTACCATATCTATAAAATAGAGGATAATAATAGTCTCTCTCTCATGGTGTCTGTATGGGTTTAATGAGATAACATACGTAAAGCACTGAGAAAAGCACCTGGCACAGGGTAAGCATTATATAAGTGTTCACTACTATTATTATGTTCTGGCTCAGCTGATCTATCAACAATCACTTCAATTCTATGCTCAGCATCTTGCAAGGTAAATATACCGAGCGTAAAAGTAGAAGATATGAAAACAACTTTTAGCAACTGACCGTGGAAAGGAAAGCATAAAGGCACATATAAGGATATGTGGGATTACACGGCACAGCCTATAAATGCAAAGGGATATCACGTATAGCTGCATTAGCTAAGAGATGCTAATTGGGGATGAAGGCTTCTAAAATAGACTCGAAACAAATCGAGATTTAGAGTTGAAAGACACAAGTGGGCATTTTAATCCATATCAAGGACTTAACTTTGGGAGACAGGCCAGAGATGAAACTCACATATGAACTGGGACTAAGACTTATGTTTATGTTCGCAACTACAGCTACCTTTCAGCCAGAAAAAATACCTGGTCAACCCAAACGTGAGGGACAGGAGGCTTGACCACAGGGCACAGAGGATGAAGGGGAGTAGGATCTCAGCTGTGGTTTGGTATTAGGCCTGTGTCTGGTTTTATACTATTTGGCGTGGGCAGGGAGAGAGAAAAAGACAAGCACAGATACATACAGAGACAGGCTTTAACCCACTGCCTTGGGCCAACCTGGCTTATCTGGCCAACTTTCTCCCAAACTTTCTATTCATATTCAGCCTGGGAAACTAAGGGGAGTGATCAGTTCTGCTAACTTCTGAAAGAAAAGTGGGGAAATAACAAAAAAGGGGGATGGAGGCAAGAAGAATCTATTTGAGAACAATTTTTTAGCAGAATAGTCAATTTTGGATTATATGTAGGTAAAGGTGTCAAAAGTACTATGACACAGGAGGCCACCTAATGCCAAGGTATAGACATTTAAGAAAAATCTCAAAGGCAAACATAAGGTTAAATAAATACAGGTTACGGAAGTAGCCCAAGGCTAGAGAGAAAAAGGAATCCCTAAAAAGATGGAGGAAACTTTCAAGACATATTGCAGCCCTCCACTAGGTGGTCTGCATTAACCTGCCTCCTTCAGAGCGCTTTTATTTTTTATTTATTTTTTAAATTTTATTTATTTATTTATTTATTTATTTATTTTTTTTTTTTTAGCATTTTTTTTTTTTTAAAGATTTTATTTTTTCCTTTTTATCCCCAAAGCCCCCCGGTACATAGTTGTGTATTCTTCGTTGTGGGTTCTTCTAGTTGTGGCATGTGGGACGCTGCCTCAGCGTGGTCTGATGAGCAGTGCCATGTCCGCGCCCAGGATTTGAACTAACGAAACACTGGGCCGCCTGCAGCGGAGCGCGCAAACTTAACCACTCGGCCACGGGGCCAGCCCCTATTTATTTATTTTTTTGAGGAAGATCAGCCCTGAGCTAACTGCGGCCAATCCTCCTCTTTTTGCTGAGGAAGACTGGCCCTGAGCTAACACCCATGCCCATCTTCCTCTACTTTATATGTGGGATGCCTACCACAGCATGGCTTGCCAAGTGGTGCCATGTCCACACCCAGGATCCGAAGCAGGGAACCCCGGCTGCCAAAGTGGAATGTGCGCACTTAACCGCTGTGCCACCAGGCCGGCCCCAAGAGCCCTTTCAGGTCTGGAAAATAAGCTCTCAAAATTTTCCCATCACAGGGACTTCATCAGACTAAAGAGCTTCTTCAAGGCAAATGAAAACAGGATTGAAACAAAAAAACAACCCACTAACTGGGAAAAAATATTTGCAAGTCATATATCTGGCAAAGGCTTAATATCCATAATATATAAAGAACTCACACAACTCAACAACAAAATATCAAACAACCCGATCAAAAAATGGGCTGGAGACACGAACAGACATTTCTCCAAAGAAGATATACAGATGGCCAATAGGCACATGAAAAATGCTCATCATTGCTGATCATCAGGGAAATGCAAATCAAAACTACACTAAGATATCACCTTACACCCATTAGAATGACGAAAATATCTAAAACTAATAGTAACAAATGCTGGAGAGGTTGTGGAAAAAAAGGAACCCTCATACACTGCTGGTGGGAATGCAAACTGGTGCAGCCACTATGGAAAACAGTACGGAGATTCCTCAAAAAATTAAAAATAGAACTACCATATGACCCAGCTATCCCACTACTGGGTATCTATCCAAAGAGCCTGAAGTCAGCGATTCCAAAAGTCCTATGCACCCCAATGTTTACTGCAGCATTATTTACAATAGCCAAGACATGGAAGCAACCTAAGTGCCCATCAACAGATGGATGGATAAAGAAGATGTGGTATATATATACAATGGAACACTACTCAGCTGTAAAACAGAACAAAATCATTCCATTTGCAATAACATGGATGGACCTTGAGGGAATTATGTTAAGTGAAATAAGCCAGTTAGAGAAGGACAATCTCTGTATGACTCCACTCATATGAGGAATTTAAACATGTGGACAAAGAGAACAGATTAGTGGATACCAGGGGAAAATGGGGTGGGGGGTGGGCACAAAGGGTGAAGGGGTGCACCTACAACATGACTGACAAACAATAATGTACAAGTGAAATTTCCCAAGATTGTAACCTATCAACTCAATAAAAATTTTAAAAAAAAATTTTCCCATCACATTTTATCCTTGGATCCCTCTATGTTTACCCATTCATCACCCTTGGTGACACCTAGTGGTATAATTTGGACCACAGCCCTGAGTCAGGTCTGTTCACAAGGTGATTGTAGAATAGGATGAAAACACCATGGCTATATAAGAACAATTGAGCACTGCCCAGGATATGATCTCAAATACAGTGGTTTAAATAAATCAAACTCTGTTCAAGCCTTTCCTGATGTTGGTTTTCATAATCACCAGTTTGAAACATGTCAACAGCAAAGTGATAACCAAAGAGAAGCCTGCCCGATGTCTCTCAGCCATCACTGGGAAAAAGGTGGGATAACCCACACCCTCTTAAACACTAATTACTTCCCCTGATGCTCAATCTGTCCAGCATTTTTAATCAGTTGTTGAGGACAGTGGAAACTCAAAGCCAAGAGGCAATGTTTTCTTGGAGTTTTCCAGGTGATTTATGTAAATGTTTAAAACAGCTGTGGCTAAGTCTCAACCTCAGACTGAGTTAATTGGTTTGAGATAGGGACTAGGCATCAGGATTTTTAAAGTCAGGTTTATATACAAAGACATACAGTAAGTAACTGTGTCAACACACAGTGCCCCTTTACAGTCAACCCTTCCCCCATTCCCAGGCGACTATTCATCTGTTCTCTGCCCTACATAGGTTTGCCTTTTCCAGAATGTTGTATAAATGGAATCATACAGTATATACCTTTTTGAGTCTGGCTTCTTTAACTTAGGATAATGACTCTGAGATTCATCCACGGTGCTGCATTAACAGCAGTCTGATGTTTTTATTGCCAAGTAGTATTCCAGGGTAGGGGTGTACCAGTTTGTTTATCCATTCTCTAGTTGTTTTTTCCAGTTTTGGGTGACTATGAATAAATATACTATATTTATAGTATAAACCATTCACAGACAAGTTTCTGTGACAACATGTGTTTTCATTAATTTATGGTAAATACCTAGAAATAGGATCATTGGGTTTAACTGCTTAACAGTAAGAAACTCCCAAACTATTCTTCAAAGTGGCAGTACCATTTTGTATTCTCACTTGCCATGTTTAAGAGTTCCAGTTACCCTACATGCTCACTGCACTTTGTATTGTTTTATTTTAGAAATTCTAATAGATGTGTACAAGCTAATATTTTTTTAAATTCTTTACTAAAACATTACAAAAATAAAAGTGCACAAATCAAAATGCACAATCAGATGAATAATCACAAAGTGAACATCTCAATGCAACTACCACAAGGTTAAAAAAAAAAACAACAAAACCCACATTATCAGCAACCCAGACGTCCCCTTGTGCCTCCTTTTAGCCACTAAGCCCCTTCCTGCTCCATACAGTGACTACTAGCCTGGCTCAACATCACACATTAGTTTTGCCTGGTTTTGAACACTATATAAATGGCACATATAATGTGTATTTTTTTGTGTCTGTCTTCTTTCACTCAATATTATGTTTCTGAGATTTATCCATGTTGTTGGATATACAGTCGTGTGCTGCATAACAATGTTTTGGTCAATGACGGACGGTGGTCCCGTCAGATTAGTACCATATAGCCTGGGTGTATAATAGGCTGTACCATCTAGGTTTGTGTAAGACCACTCTTGTTCGCACAACAATGAAATTGCCTAACAAGGCATTTCTCAGAACATATCCCTTGCATTAAGCAAAATATGATTGTAATAGTTCACTCAAATTCATTACAGTATAGTGTTTCACCATAAGAATATTCCAGTTTATTTATCCATTCCACTATTGATGGACATTTGGGTTGTCTCCCCGGGAGTAAAAATATTGTCATGAGGTATATATACGTGCAACTTTAATAAATATTGCCAAATAATTTTCCAAAATAGTTGTACCAAATTTACAATTTACTTCTACCAAAAGACTAACTCGCTCCATATCCTTGCTAACACCTGGCATCATCATTATTTAATTTTAGCCACTCTGGTGGGTGTGTAGTGGTATTCCACTGTGGTTTTAATTTGCATTTCTCTGATCATTAGTGAAACTGAACAACTTTTCACGGATATTGAACATTTGGATACAGTCTTTCGTGAAGTATCTGGCTCTCACCTATTTTTAAAACTGGGTTATCTTTCTTATTGATTTGGTGTTCTGTATATATCCAAGTATAAGTCCTTCAACAGTTGTGTGTAGCAAATATCTTCTACCCTGAGCTTGCCTTTCACTCTTTTAATATCATGATGTCTCTTGACGAACGAAAGTTCTTAATTTTAATGTGACACCATCAGTATTTTCTTAAGATACCCTGCATCAGGGCAAAAACTGGAAACAGAGTTGAGAACCACTGCTTCAGCTGCTGAAAAACCAGAAGCTAAACTGTCCCAAGCAGCAAGGTCTGTTCACACAGAGTATAACTTGCCAGAGACTTTAAATGCCAGAGCCTATGGAAGGATAAAGGTAGGAATCAGCAGGTATCAGGTGAACAGCAACACAGTAAGAGGAGAAGAATGAGAAAGGTTCAAACGATACACCTGAGCCTTTAGGGCTGGAGACAAGCAAACTGGAGACAGGCATTTCAGATTGTGACTTTGAAATAACCAATTTTCTGAAAGAGCTGGATACCAACACATAGGATGAGTCATCTGAAGAGCTTCTTAGTGAACTGAAATCTACACAGCTACAACCATCCTCATATTTTGTGTGCAGAGTTAGCAGTCCTCCAAGGTTATTTTTTTAAGCCAATTTTAAGCCAAAACTGCATTTGTTGCAATTTTTGTATCTGGACTTAAGCTTTCACGTTCTGGCTATTCCAGCATATGAGAGAGACCATTTCATGAAGAGAGAATGTACTTCTGAGTTTCAAATTATTAGAAATATCTACCTCTTGAAACAGACTTGGCAAATGGCTTCAAATATGACCATAACAATAATATCCTGCACCTGAAATTCAAATCCTTCATCAGTAGAAAGCGGCTGCCAAGGCATCATGCCAGAAAGAAACCAGAAAGGAAAAGAGCATCTGTTAATGAAAAAAACGGGGGCGGGGGGGGGGGGGGTGGTTTAACTGTAAAAATACTCGCTACATCAAAACACCCCAGTCACAGCTTCTCTCAAAAATCAGAGTTGCCTCACAAACTGAATCAAAGCTAAGTGGCTTACATAGAGTGTACAGAAAAGACTTCGAAGAATCAGGAGCCTAATTTTCCTCTATATTATCGGTCTGAGACCTCAAAGAGGAGTGTCATGGTAACAACAGCCCTAGAACAAAGGGTACAAAGCAAACAGTGGAGAGTGGCCTGAGAGCACAGCCATGATCTGTTGCTGGCACAGGCTGCCTCCCTCTGTGTCCTTGAGGCTGATGTTCAAGGAACACTGAAATCAGTCAGCTGGTGGGTTCCCAACCTCTCAAAATCTGCTGCCCCATAAATGAAGCACATCCATACTGCACATAATCAAGGAAAGAAGAAGCAGAGAACTCCCCTCTATAATATCGTAACCCCATTTCTCAGATAGCCAGCTCTGACGAGGAAAACATCTTTCCCTAAGGTGTTCTGATATAAGTTATTGCAGGGGCTTTAAAACCTTGAAGGAATGTCTTAAATACATATAACTAATTTTTTTAAAAATCATGCAGCCAGTATGGCAAATTGCTTGTGTCCTTTACTGGTATTTGACAACAGGGCATAGTAGACAGACCCATTTATGTTTGAGCCCTGGCTCATTCACCCACTCAACCAGTCAGTTATGTAAACTGGCCTTGGGCAAGTCAGTTTCTCTCTCTGGACCTCAGATTCATCTGACCCCAGAAGGTTAAACTAGATCATCTCTAAGGCCTCCTTCTCAGTGCCAATTTCATTTCTACTCATAAGGCCTTGCCAGGAGTGCTGAATCAATTTACTTAGCATTTACAGCCTCTCCTTTAACACAGTACCACCCCAACTTAATCCTCGTGCAGGAAGGAACTTTCTCCAACAGCTTAAATCTAGCAGTTATATGCCTGCAGAATGAGGCTGCTGGGTAGGCCTGTAGGATACCTGCAACATTATGAATGATAAATATATAATTGGTCTTCATCCCCACTTCTAGGACAGAGCTTCTAAAACCCTTGGATTTTCCTAAGTGGTGAGAGAGGAAAAGTCTTTTGTTACATTAATGAGGTGACTTTTGGAATGCCCCTAGATCACCTATAGATGGGGCAGGTTTCCAAGGGACCCACCCTGTGATTAGAGAACTGGAACTTTCAGTCCCACTCGTCAACCTCCTGGGAGGGGAGAGGAGCTGGAGGTTGAACTGATTATCAATGATCAATGACCAATGACTTACTGAATCACAGCTATGCCATGAAGCCTCCACAAAAACCGGCAAGGACAGGCTCAGAGAGTTTCTGGGTTGATGAATACATGGAGGTGCTGGGAGAGTGGTGCACACAGACAGGGCATGAAAGTTTCGTGTCCCTTCCCACATACCTTGCCCTATGCATCTCCTCCATTTGGATGTTCATCTGTATCCCTTTATCATATCTTTTTATAATAAACTGCTAAACATAAGTAAATGTTTCCCAGAGTTTTGTGAGTTGCTCTAGCTAATTAACTGAAGCCAAGGGGGAAGAGGTCATGGGAACCTCTGATTTATAGCCAGTTTGTGAGAAGAACAGGTAACAACCCGGACTTGTGGCTGGCATATGAAGTCCAAGGAAGGTGTCTTTGGAACCTCTAATCTACAGCCAGTTGCTCAAAAGCACAGGTGTTAATCTGGCCTTGCAACTGGCAATTGGCATCTGAAGTGGAGGGCGGTCTTGTGGGATTGAGCCTGCAGAACCTGCTGCTATCTCCAGTAGATAGTGTCAGTATTGAGCTGAACTGCAGGACACTAGCATTGCTTGGTGGTGTGGGGGAAAACCACTCACATACACGCTGGAATTGGTCTCAGAACCATTTTAATATTCTTCCTTCTAACAGACCTCTTTAAAATCCTTCCAACCAGAGCAGTGTAAAACGGTGTCTGAAGACATTTTATACTTTCTAATCCTTAACTGTCTACATTAGAATTTATCTCACCTCATAGCCTATATGTTCACTGTATTCCTGGGTGCTTACACATCCCTACTTTACGTACTTCCTAATTGCTGGGCCTTATACACCATTTTACCTCCCTTAGTATTCACACTAGACCAGTGTTTTCAAATTTTTTAAAGCAGAAAAACCCTTTATTCAAAGAAGATCTTCCTAAGAACACCAATAGTAAAATAGGTACAAAAGGGGGGAGGTGGTTTGCTCTGATTGAAAGGAGTGGGGAAGGGAAGGCGCTAAGTACAGTCAGCTGAGCTCCTCCCTCCTCCCCATGCCCTGAACCACAGATGTACTCCAGAATCTTCTTCAGGTTCCCAAGGTTTCTGGACTTTCAACTTACAAAGGGCCAATTCCCCCAGTAACTTAGTCCAGTTTCTGGCGCAGAACCTACTGCTCCAATTCAGGCGTTCCCTCAAAGTAACTAACTTCAAGTCATTAGAAATTATTTTGGCATAATCAAATCTCTGGCAACAGACAGAAGTGGTTGTCTCTGTGGAAGACAACTGGGTGGCTAGGGGAGAAGATATCTTTTGAATCTTTTAATTTTGTACCATGTATTGCCTATGCAAAAAAAAACTAATTTAAAAATAAACAAAAATTCAATAAAAGTCATTAGGCTTCTACGGATTCCTGTACCTTGTTGTCCATAATTGTCCACTGGCCCTCGGCATTCTGCTTCAAAACACAGTGGTTTCGGGAAATCATCAGAGGGCAGATTTTTGATACCAGCTGGTATGTGACACCAAATCCTCGCCCTACAGTCACCTAGGAAGACAACAATATAAGAGACACAATCAGCTATTGTGCTGAAAAGGGAGGTCCTTTACAATGTTGTCAACTAGCAGTATACACGTCTTGACTTACGAAACTGGATTCCTGTGAAACCCAAACAGTTCATCTGCTATCTCCTCCAGCTGCCATGGGAGCCATCATGTAAAAAAGGCAAGAAGCTGTGACAAGAGACAGCTGAATGGAGTTAATCACAGAATATCAGGGTTGGTAGGACTCCGAAAAGTCATGAGATGGAGGAATTCTTTCTACACACCCCACCAACTAGTCTTAAACACTGCTAAGAACTACAGCCTCTATACAAGACAGTCCCTCCAATTTTTTAATGGCTCCGACTTGACACCTTTCTCCCTATAAATTCCATCCACTGGCCCTGGCTCCGCCCTGGGCACCATGAGAAAATCTCCAAGCCCCCTCCCACATGACAGCTATAAAGTGTCTACTGGCTATTCTGTTCTCTTGGCCCTATGTTGCCAGTTACCTCAACCTAACTCTCATGGCATAGGTTTGACTCTGACACTTTAATGGGTCTGTGAAGAGACTCCTGGCTTATTTTTATTCCTGGATGCCATATTAACAAAAATAAACTTAATTTCTGTTACACAGCGAAATCCAAGTATCACTTTCCCAGTTCTAGATATTATCACTGGAGCATATAAATTGCATTAGCTTTCAGAGCAGATCTGTCACACTGCCAATGTATCCTCAGGCTTAGGAATGATTAAATTTCTTGGTCTAACCCTCCCCAAAGAATTGCTATGCGAAGTCATGTCTCTTCTGTCCTATACTTGACTAGTTGGTAAATCCGGATTTGAGTGCAGGAACTTACATTGATTCCTATTAAATTTCATCTTGTTAGTTCAGCCTATCACAGGAGCTTGTCAAACCTCTCTGAATTCTTAATCTGCCATCAGACATAGTCAATATCCCTTCTAGCCTTTGAATCACCCACCAAATTGATGTGATGCCCTCTGTACCTTCATTCAAGACACAGATAAAAGACTGAAACAGGACATAGCCAAAGGCAAAGCTCTCAGGAAAGCCTAGTAAACATTCTACCACACAATCTGGGTACACCTTCAACCAGTTGTGATTCAACCCAAGTCTGTGCATTGAGTCCATATTTTCCATCAGATCCACAAGGACTGTATGAGAGCCACTGCAAAAGGTTGTAAAGAAGCCTCAATTCATATCTATCATCCTTTCCTGACGGACCAGTCTAATTCATAATAACCCTGTCAAGGCCAGAAATGAAATTCTTCTGAGGTCCAGATCTTAGAAGTCCCTGCTTATTCTCTTGGTGCATGAGCCACCTCTTTGATGACCCATACCACAACCCTTACCTGGGAACATCAGGCCAAATGATACGTGGTTTTGTAAAAGCTGCCTTCTTTGCTCCTTTTGAAAATCTTTCAGAATCATGCCTGTCCTCCTCAGTCCCTGAAAGACCACCACGACTCTCCTTCGCCTGATCGATGCCTCCCACAAATTCTCATCTCAGTAACTGACACTACCATCCAACCACCTGCTTAGCCCAAAACCCAGGAGCCCTCTTCGATTCTTCTGTCCCTCATCTCACATTCAAATCAGTAAATTCTACTGGCTGTAATTCAGCATGTCCTAAATCTGTTCAGTTCTATCTCCATGACCACTGCCTTAGTCCAAGCAACCTGGCTTCTTCCAGTTACACTGTTTTCGTTCGTGCGCTAGCCCCCCTAAATTTTATTCTTCACATAGCAGCTGGAGTGGTGATGTAAAAACTTTAAATCAGATCATTTCCCTTCTTTCTTTAAAATTCTCCAATGATCCAAACTTCCTCCCACAGCCTATAAGGCCCTGAAGGTCCTAACCCCCTTCACCTCTTAGTCTTATCTCATACCATGGTCAGAAGCACTCACCACTACGAGAAATATTCACTGTCACAGTCATTTCACCTTTTCCCTCTGCTTAGAACACTGTTCTCTCAGACATTTGCATGGGCTCCTTCTCATCCTTCAAGTTTCAGCTCCTCAGAGGCGTACTCTGATTACCTGGTACAAAGCTGCTGCCTGCTCCCTCCTGAGCCCGCTGCCATTATATTCCTTCATGTTATTAGCATGGATTTACCACAATCCAAAATTATCCTGTTGGTTTTACCTATTTATTTCTGTCTCCCCCTTATGAGAACACTTACTAGAATTTCATCAGCAGGGCCCTTATCTGTCTTGTGTAACACTGTATTTCTGTACCCAGCAGTACCTGGTGCTCAGTAAATATTTGTGAATAAATAGAAGAAAAAAGAAATTTTGCTTATGAGTCCTCCCAGATTCTAGGATGGGTATTTATTTAGGTCAGAAGTTGGAAACTCGGTTATTACCACTGAAAACTATGGAAAAGCAAGGACCTCTTACAATCTGACTATTCCCCTTTAAAATGTTGTGGTGACCATATCCACCAAAACCCTGAGTCTGAAGTTTTTCGGTTCTTTCACAGTTTGCCAGAAATTCCATTAATTATAGAAGTTCCTCTGAATTAATACATATATCCTTTAAAAATGGAATATTTAAGGATTTAAATGTCATCCATATTCAGTAAGAATTTCCATTTAGGTAGCTTTATTTCTAATAAAGGAAGTATTTCATATTCCATTGTAATACTTGAGGGGAGACAGCTAGATTGCCATTGTTGAGTAGCCTAGGGAAAGAACTACAGAAAAAGGAGATGAGTGCCATTTTCTGAAATTGCCTCCTACAGACTCTAAATCCAGGAAAGGAAGGAAGGACTCTTTTTCATCCTTTCCTTCACTGTTTGGTCCTAGAATTTACCTTCGTACACCATGGTTAAAGAGTCTACAATGAGCTTATCGGGATATCCCAGCATCATTCTTAACATAAAACTAAATTTCCCATGGGAACTGAGTGCCAATAAACTGCCAACTCATATGTTGGGCTGTTTCTATTCACAACAGTTGTGTAAGCCTTTGAGCTTACTGATATTATGGGTCTACAAGATCATCTTGTCCTTACACACCTTCACTAGTGCTATCCCCTTCCTCCTGGCCACGACTCCTACTGTTTCCCAGATGACCGGCAAATGTTCTAGAATCATCCTTTCCCTTTTCCAACCCTCTTAGGGCAGAAAGTTTCATGAAAACCAAACACAAGAGAAGAAAAAGGGAAAAATGAAGATACTATGGCTTTTCCCAAACCTAGATACTTACAGGGCCAGGAAACTAGCTCATCTGAAATAAATCTTTAACTTGTTTTTCCAGCAAACTCTTTGGTTTGCTTTAAGAAGTTTAAAGACATACATTCAAGCAGACAATTTACTACAGTACTCCCTTCAGTGAAATGAGATGAACCTTCTTTTATTACTTTATCTGTGAAATTTTATCTGAGACTGTGAGGGCAACTGGGAAGGCAAGAAACTGACCTTTCTCTGCTGTTATAATTAAATGGTATCAGCACACCTCCTAAAATTGTGTGCTTACCAGCTTGTGAACCACAGTTTGAGGACCAGTACAGTAAGACTTCATCTCCCGGCTTTGATTCAGGCCTCTCATCATACAATCCAACTACTCCTAAGACCCACCTTCACAGGCAGCCAGGCCTGGCAGGCCTCTCTTCCACACAGGGCTCCAAGGCAAGCCAGTCTTTCTACTATGTCTTCACCATTCACTCTAGCTTATATGGTCTCTCCCCTGAGACACGCCACCACACAAAATTATCCACTAGTTTAAAAGACATCAAGGAACACTTTATAGTCCTCTTGCCCTTGCTGAAGGTGCTTTAATTCTTTCTGTCCCCCACCCCCACCAAGATTCCTTGCATTACTAACCTATTCAAAAGTAGTAAATTAATCCACAACAACTGAATCTGAAAGAGTTAACATTTGATCTCTACGTAGCTGACAGGGTTGTATGTCAACCTATACAAAATAAAGTACATGCATACCTTGTCTTAGTGTGCTTCACAGATAACCATGTTTTTTACAAACTGAAGGTCTGTGGCAACTCTGCGTTGAGCAAGCCTACTGGTGCCATTTTTCCAACAGCATTTGCTCTCTTCATGTCACTGTCTCACATTTTGGTAACTCACAATATTTCAAACTTTCTCATTATTATTATATTTGTTACGATGATCTACAATCAGTGATTTTTGATGTTACTATTGTAATTGTTTGGAGGGCACCACAAACTGCACCCATGTAAGATGGCAAACTTGATCAACAAATGTGTGTGTTCTGGGCTGGCCCCGTGGCTGAGCGGTTCAGTTCATGTGCTCCGCTTCGGTGGCCCAGGGTTTTGCCAATTCAGATCCTGGGCACGGACATGGTACCGCTCGCTTATCAAGCCATGCTGAGGTGGCATCCCACGTGCCACAACTAGAAGGACCCACAACTAAAAATACACAACTATGTACCGGGGGGCTTTGGGGAGAAAAAGGAAAAATAAAATCTTAAAAAATAAATAAATAAACAAATGTGTGTCTTCTGACTGCTCCACCAAACAGCCGTTCCCTGTCTCTCTCCCTCTCCTTAGGCCTCCCTATTCCCCGAGACACAACAATATTGAAATGAGACCAATTAATAACCCCACAATGGCCTCTAAGTGCTCCAGTAAATGGAAGAATCCCATGTCTCTCATTATAAATCAAGAGCCAGAAATGATTAAGTGTAGTGAGGAAGACATATCAAAAGCCAGGACAGGCCGAAAGCTTGGCCTCTTGTGCCAAGCTGTGAATGCAAAGGAAAAGTTGTTCAAGGAAATAGAAAGTGCTACTGTAGTGAACACACAAATGTAAGAAGGCAAACAGCCTTACTGCTGATACACAGAAAGTTTTAGTAGTCTGGATAGAAAATCAAACCAGCCACAACATTCCCTTAAACTAAAGCCTAATCCAGAGTAAGGCGCTAAGTCTCTTCAATTCTCTCAAGGCTGAAGAGAGGTGAGGAAGCTGCAGAAGAAGAGTCTGAAGTTGGCAGAGGTTGGTCCGTGAGGTTTAAGGAAAGAAACCGTGTCCATAACATAAAAGTGCAAGGTAATGCAGCAAGTGCTGATGGAGAAGCTACAGCAAGTTATCCAGACAATATAGCTAAGATAATGAAGTGGGTGGCTACAGTAAGCAACAGATTTTCAGTGTAGACGAAATAGCCTTATATTGGAAGAAACTGCCATCTAGGTGCTAATCTTTAAAAAAATAAAAATAAATAAATAAAAGAAATTCTGTGAGTGAAACGACATCATCACATGCTACAGAGAAATCATTCGTGAAAGAGTCAATGAATGTGGGAAACTTCACTGTTGTCTTATTTTCTTTTTTTAAAGATTTTATTTTCTTCCTTTTCCCCCCAAAGCCCCCCAGTACATAGTTGTATATTCTTCATTGTGGGTCCCTCTAGTTGTGGCATGTGGGATGCTGCCTCAGCGTGGTTTGATGAGCAGTGCCACGTCCGCACCCAGGATTCGAACCAACGAAACACTGGGCCGCCTGCAGCGGAGCGCACAAACTTAACCACTTGGCCACGGGGCCAGCTCCCACTGTTGTCTTATTTTAAGAAACTTCTCAAATGTATGGTGATGGATAAAAGCTAGACTCTTGGTAGTGAGCACAACATAGTGTATACAGAAACTGATACACAATAACATACACCTGAAATTATACAATGTTATAAAGCATCATGACCTCAATAAAATAATTTTAAAAGTTAAAGAGACTTGTCAGCTAAATGACCCTGAACCAGAAAACTAATTTTCTTCCTCTTTCTTATAAAGGACAGTACTGATACAATTGATATCTGAATAAGGTCTCTAGGTTAGATAGTATGATTATATCAGTGCTATTTTTCAGACCTAATAATTGTGCTACTGTTATATATGAGAATGTCCTTCTTTTAGGAAACACCTAATCAAGTATTCAGGCATAAAAGAGCATCATATCTGCGTTTTACTCTCAAATAGTTAAGGAAAAAATAAATTTACATATATAATTTAATATAGAGAGAGAAAGAGGATAAAGCAAATATGGTAAAATCTCACATCTGGGGAATCTAAAGAAAGAGCATTGGTAGGTCTTTGTATTTTTCATGCAATCATTCTGTAAGTCTGAAATCATTTCAAAATAAAAAGTTGTTAAAAGTGAAAAAGAAATCGCCACAGCCACTCCAACCTTCAGCAACCACCACCCTGATCCCTCATCAATATCGAAGCAAGACCCTCCGCCAGCAAAAAGATGACAACTCCCTGACAGCTCAGATGATGGTTAGCATTTTTTAGCAATAAAGTATTTTTTAATGAAGCTATGTACCTTTTTGTTTAGACATAATGCTATTTCACTAAAAGAATGAACACCCACTGTGGACTTTTGGGCAATGATACCTGGATAAAAGAGAGATTTGGGGGCAGAAGTGTTTTCCTAGTGTTCTTCAAATCACAGCACACAAGCAACCCTTGATAACCCCCTCACCTAGCAACATTTAATGCTGGACCTGAAACTCTCCTCTGACTTGAGGAACCACTGCTCTAGGACAGCACTAAGTAATCCACATCTTGGCACTTGATCATTCGGCCTACGTGGATGTTCTCAGATTGCTTCACTGTATAAAATCCTCTTTCCCCATTCAAGTGACAAACTCTTCGAGGGCAGAAGCCATTATTATTTGGCTCTCTTACAGTACGCCAAACAATCTCAGTACTCCATACATACCTGGGAGACTGAATTGAGACTGTATAGTTTATAGAACAAACCTAACAAAACACATAATGATCAAAAAACTTCTTTATCTTTCATACAAATTATTGCCAAAACCCAAATGGTTCTCAGTCACCACAAGCCTGTCCCTAACCCAGCTCTCCTTCTCAAGCTGACTGCACTCTTAATTCTCTGCCTCCTCTTCCATCACCCTCTCTAGAACCACCACCCCAGTCCTAGCGGCCCCCAACTGGAAATATGCCTCACCTCTCCTCTTAAAAAAATTTTTTTTTACGTATTTTGCACTTACGACCGCATTAGAAAACAATATAAGCAGCCTCCGGAGAGGAGAACTCATATTTCTGAATTCCTACCCCGGATCCATCCCAGGGGGTGCCACTCGGCGGGACCCAGTACCGAGACTCACAGAACAAATGTGGCCCACCCCAAAGCACCAATCTTCCTCGAGAGTTGCAAAAGATGAGATGTTTTTACATTAAAGTTCGAGTGTTTGGGACGTGACCCAAAACTCACAATCGTTTTCAAAATAAACTCGAGAAAGTTGACGCTCTCGGCAGTCCTTCCGGCCCCCCCGCCCCTCGGCCCCTGGGCCGGCCGTGACTCCCGCTGGAAGTTGGGGCAGCTCCGCCGTCCGCAGAGGACACCGCAGGCTCGGAGCGGCCCAAGCAGGGCTGTCCCGCTCCCCTCCCACCCAGCCGGCTCCTGCCCCTCGAAACCCCGGCTGCTCCTCACATCCTTGACGCCCACCTCTCGCTCTGCCCCTCTACCAGGCTCCTTCCTGCAACCCGGCCCCGGGCGCGCTCGCCCCGCAGGCCCAGGCCTCTCTCAAGGGGGCCATCTTTTCTCCCGCACGGCCCTTGCTTCCCCCCAAACGCCTCCCACCTCAGACCCCCCCAACCGCTCGCACCAGGACCCTTCCTCCCTTCTCTCCCCGCAAGACCCACGCTCTCCTCTGTCCCCTCTTTCCCGCTCCCTCTCCGCTCTCCATTCACCCCTCCCGCCGACGCGCTGGCCCCTCCGGCCCCAACCCCCTTCCCTCGCCTCGGGGGGACCCCTCCCCCTCACCTCGTCTCCGTCCTCCAACAGCAGCCACTCAGCGTTCATCCCCACCCGCCGCAAACACCAGCTCCGGCCACCCGCGCGGTCTCCCCTAACCAAGGAGCCGGGCTCCCCCATAGCCCACTCGCCAAGGGTCGCGGTCAACACAGAGCGAGACCACGACCCAGGTTCCCGCCGCCTCTCCGCTTCCTCGCAGGCGCCATACCTAAACAACAGACAGAAGCAATCGCTAAGCGCTCGCGATCGATGCGAACGCTCGCTGGGGCTCTGCGCCCGGCTCGCTCCAGGCCGGAACACCGAGTCACTGCGCCTGCGCGAGAGGCTGGCCGCGGCGGGGGCGCAGGTGTAGGGGGATCTGGCCACAGGTGGGGCGTGGTCGCCCGAGCCTCTCTAACTCTTCGGTCACACCCTTCTCGCCTTCTCTAAAAACACCAGGCCAGTCGTAGCCGCTCCAACCTGGAACCTCTTCTCACCTTTCTCTTTTTGAAAAAACTTTACTTTATGATGATTTCCATGGTATTTAAATCTATGACCAACTTTTGAACAACTTTAAACTTGTGATACTTTTTTTTTTAAAGACTGGCACCTGAACTAAGAACTGTTGCCAATCTTTTTTTTTTTTTGCTTTTTCTTCCCAAATCCCCCCAGTACACAGTTGCATATTTTAGTTGTGGGTCCTTTTAGTTGTGGCATGTGGGATGCCACTGCCTCAGCATGGCTTAACCAGCGGTGCCCTGTCCGGGCTCAGGATCCCAACCGGCGAAACCCTGGGCCACCAAAGTGGAGCACGCAAACTTAACCACTGGCCACGGCCGGCCCCTAAACTTGTGATAATTTTTAAATCTGTTAGGCCTCCTAAATAGCATCTGTTTTGCATGACCTCCTTTTATTAACAAATTTTTTAAAATATACTAGGCAAAGACTGAGAAAGACAAACAGCAGATGATTTCACTCATATGTGGAATATAAACTTACACATGGACAAAGAAAACAGTTCAGTGGTTACCAGGAGAAGGAAGGTGGGGGGTGGGCACACAGGGTGAAGGGGAGCACTTATGTGGTGACAGGCAAGAAATAATGTACAACTGAAATCTCACATCGATGTAAACTATTATGAACTCAATAAAAAAAATAATATACTAGGCAAATCTATCGAGACAGAAAGCACAATTACCTAGGGCTAGGTGTGGGAGCTGGGTTTGAATGCAAATAGGTTTGAGAGAATTTAGGGAGGTGATAGAAACATTCTAAAACTGGATGTGGTGATGACTGCACAATTGTATACATTTACTAAAAAGTCATTGAAGCATACATACACTTCCGGTGGATGAATTTTATGGTATGTAAATTATCCTCAATAAAGCTGTTAATTGAAAACAAAACATGGGGCCCACCCATGGGCATAGAGATTAAGTTTACACACTCTGTTTGGTTGGCCAGGGGTTCACAGACCCTGATCCCAAGCGTGGACCTAGCACCGCTCATCAAGCCACGTTCTGGTGGCCTCCCACATAAAGCAGAGGAAGATTAGCACAGAGGTGAGCTCAGCCACAATCTTGCTCAAGCAAAAAGAGGAATATTGGCAACAGATATTAGCTCAAGGCCAAACTTCCTCACCAAAAAAACAAAAAACAAAACCCCCACAAAACCTCAAACTCTTTCCTTTGGATTTGCCAGTACAGTGTGGTAGCTGCTCCGTGTAGTGAGTACCTCTGTGATAACTCAATGCCCCCTTTGTCTTTTTGGTTTTCCAATATCTGGTTAACAATTTTCTTAAATTCTGTCAGGAGAAAATATATATACTAAATGAATCATATGAAGTGCAATAGTAAATGGCTAATGTTCATTAAGAGCTAAGTGCCAAGCAGCCTACATACTTTATCTTATTTGCTCCTCACAAACAATATGATGATAGTGGTTATGATTATAATTCCTACATTAGGGATGATGAGAAAAGAGGTGTAGAGAGGGTTAGTAATCCTTCCAAAGTAACAAATGGTGGAGTAGGATGCCAATCGAGGCTGTTTACAACCTAATTTCTTTCTTTCTTTTTTTAAAGATTGGCACCTGAGCTAACAACTATTGCCAATCTTCTTTTTTTTTTTTCTGCTTTTTTTAATCCCCAAATGCCCCCAGCACATAGTTGTATATTTTTTCAGTTGTGGGTCCTTCTAGTTGTGGCATGTGGGACGCCACCTCAACGTGGCCTGACAAGCGGTGCCATGTCTGCGCCCAGGATCCGAACCAGCAAAACCCTGGGCCGCCAAAGCGGAGCACGCGAACTTAACCACTTGGCCACGGGGCCGGCCCCACAACCTAATTTCTTAACCATGGTTGCAACTCCAACCTGGAGCATTTTATCCGGGTGGCACTGTTAGATCAAGAATTTCAGCCTGTGATGTCACAGAGGGTCAGGAAAATTGGGGGGAGCCACATCTGCACACTCAAGCAGACACTTCCCTAAGCTTTGAATGCCTGTCTGTTGGTGCCTGCACCCCACCTTAGCATTCTATCCTGTCCCAGGAATAGCAAGGGCACCTGGAGGCCATCCTGACATGTAGTTGGCATGTCTCCTTAGGATATTCCTGGCTGTGACAGTTTCTCAGACTTTCCTTGTTTTTTGATGACCTTGAAAGTTTTGAGGAGTACTAGGCAGGTATTTTGTAGAATGTCCCTCAATTGGGATATGTCTGATGTTTTTCTCATGATTAGACTAGGGCTATAGATTTTGGGGGAGGAAGACCACAGAGGTAAAATGCCATTCTCATCCTGTCATTTTAAGGGTACATGCTAGCAACATGAATTATCACTGTTGATGTTAATCTTGATCACCTGGCTGAGGGAGTATACAGTTACTCTTTCTCTCCTTTTCCATACTGTACTCTTTGGAAGGAAGTCACTAGGCACGGCTCACACTTAAGGAACGGGGAGTTATGCTCCACTTGCTTAAGGGTAGGAAATCTACATAAGTTATTTGAAATTCTTCTGCAGGAAGAGACAGGATATTTGTCTCTTCTCCCCCATTTATTTATTGAATCATTTATATCAGTATGGACTCATGGGTACTTATTTTATACTTTGGGTTATAATCCAAAACCACTTTGTTACTCAAATTATTCCTACTTTGGCTACAATGTCCTTTTACATACTCCCATCCTTGTGTTTTATTGAGCACTTCCTTACCTTCTGGCACAAGATGCTCTAGGCCTAGAATCAGCCTTTTCTACAAGGAGCCCTGGTTCCTTCTATTAGAAAATGGTATTAGAAACCAACATCTGCGTACTAGGTGTGCTGATTGCGACTGGGATGTTGTTGCTTCTAGGCTCTCTCAGATGACAGAGCAAGTAAATATATGTGTGAATACTAACCCCTCTATATCCACATATTTATGAATATCTATGTATGTATGCGTATATTGTATGTATGTATATAGTAACACATGTATATGTACATATACATTCTTATCTCAATCTGTAAGCTAAACAAGTGCATACAGATGTCTTACAACTCTAATGCATTACCACCTGGCACCTGGATCATTCTAGTCACCACCCCCCTTGCTTATTTGTAACTTTCCACTCCAAAAATGAAAAACCTGGCTCCCACTATCTGCCTTCCATTTACTTAACCATCATTTCCAGTATACATGTGTAGTCGTTTCAAAATTGTTAACGCACACACCTGTGGGAAACAACTTTATCAACTGGAGTGCACTACTTACGTGCAGGTATTTTGCCTTTAGTCTTACAGTTCCACTTGTTTCCAAAGTTACTTAGGTCAGCACCTTTTCCCCTAACCCCCTTCAGAAAGGTTGTTTCATACAGTTAGATTCTTTTCATCTCAGTCTGCATTCTATCTGGGATCCCCTGACCTCCTAAGTGATTTTTAAAAGTTTATATACATTAAGTTTCACTCTTTCTAATGTAAAGTTCTATGAGTTTTGGAAAATGCATAGTGTCACACATTATAGTATCATAGAGAATAATTTCATCGCCCTAAAAAAATCCCCCATGCCTCACCTATTCAGCCCTCCCCCATTCCTGCATCTTGATTGCTTTGTTTAACAATATATCCTGGATATTATGCCATGGCAATATATATGTATATTCTTCTCTCCTCTTTACAGCTGTATATTACTCCCTTCTGCAGATGTACCATTTTTTATTCAACCAGTCCCTTATTGATAGACAATTTGGTTCTTTCCAGTCGTTTGAGATCACAAATAGCCCTACAATGAATTAGTAGGCACCACTTTTAAGTATTTATTATATGCTTTTCATTTATTATTTTATTTAATCCTCACTACCATCCTGTAAGATATCCCCATTTACCCATGAGGAACCTGAGACTACTGGGTGGCCCAAGGTCTCCTTACCATGAGCTTCTTGAGGGTGTGTCTTGTTTTCCATTGTATTCCTGACATTTTAATTGAATGAATGAATGAATGAATGAAGCTCAACTAGTAAATGGCAGTGCAAGGAACTGAAGCCAGAGCTGTTGAGCCTGGATCTCTAGCTCCAAAGGCTTCACTCATTAGTGTCTAGCAGTGGTCTGTAAGGTGGAATGGCCATACCCCTGGGAGTATACAAGATGACCCGTTTGCTTGTGGAACAAATATATCAGGATGTCTAATTAGGTTTTAATCCCATTCTTTTAAAAATGGCCACTTTTGTGAATATTTTATATGTACATAACAACATAGAGGATATGTATAGACTTTACATGAATAAATAAACATGCATATATTGGGCTGTATGCTCAGACTTTGTTTTGTTGCTAAGAGTGCATGATCAAAACAGTTTGGAGGGGCTGGCCAGTGGCATAGTGGTTAAGTTTGCGTGCTCCTCTTTGGCGGCCCGGGGTTCACTGTTTCTGACTGGTGTGGACCTACGCACAGCTTGTCAAGCCATGATGTGGCAGGCGTCCCACATATAAAATAGAGGAAGATGGGCACAGATGTTAGCTCCGGGCTAATCTCCTCAAAAAAAAGAAAGAAAGAAAGAAAGAAAGAAAACAAGATGTTTTGCCCTCTTTAAATTGGTGAAGTTATAAAGCAGAAACCCCTTCAATTTTAGACTCTTTTATCACCCATCTCCAAGCAAGATGAGTTTTTTAAA